TTTACCGTGTGAAATATCTTCGAGATGATCATGTTCCCATGGTTGGTTTCCTTGTCTGAGTCGTGATTTCAGCGCATTGTATTAAATTGATATGCACTGTGTATTTGAGGATGGGTGTTTATTCATCCCCTGCATTTAACTGTCTGTCACTGCGTGTTCAGACCATTAAGTTTGGAAGCTGGTTGAAGCCTTTACAGTTGGTCTGATGACTTTGTAGCCACCATTGTGTACTGCCTATTGTATGTATTGTAGACAGTCCCAGACAGTATTGAATGTGTAGCCACCGCGGCTCATAGGCAGCACCGTTGTCTCCTTATTATAGATTTTTGTCATCAGTCCCAGACAGTGTAGAGACTAAAGTGACTGTGATTGATAGCCAGTGGAGTCGATCACCTCTTAAGAGTCACGTACAATCCGTGAACCTACATCGATCATTTTATAGTGCGATAACCGAGATACATGATACACCAAACATTGTACATGATCCATACTTTCCATACGTACATAATTCTCAACATATTTATACAGTCGGTGATAAGCCTCGGGATTGTCTGACCCCCGAAAACGCGGACTCAGCACATCGTACAAGCCCCCCGGAGCTTATTCGACACAGCACTCACACGCCTCTAGGCTTCTATGGGCTCTAAAGACTTGCTCTGTTTTAGCTCTGGACTTCCTAGCATCCTCGAGGCGTACACGGACCCATTCCGCGATTTATCTCTGTGAACAGGAGCTCCGGAGTGACTTAACCAATGCAACTTCTAGATGAATTAGCTCCGGGGCCCGCGGATGCTTGTATTGGGGGATGTCGTCCTCATGCCCACCCTCCAGCACTCACTCCCCCTTGTTTCCATCAAAATACCGAAGGTGCGGATGTTTACGAGTCACCATGAGGCCAGCATCAGTCAGCGAGCAGCCGGAGGTAATTAGCACGTGACTGGTGCGTCGCGCAGAGTGATGGGACCGCTTAGGGCAGGTGGCAGAGCGTCGAGGCGACCTCTAGGGGCTGGGACGAGGAAGTGGGAGTGCAAGGGAGTCGTATGGTGCATGGTATAAACGGCAGCAAGTGCTGAACAATCCTGTGGGTAGCGGTGTTTATTTGTTATTTATCTCCGGATGGTCGCAAAGCCATTCCTGTAGTATAAATTGTACAAAGTAGCGTACAGAAAAACAAGTTTTTGCACTTCACCATCTCAGAGAATTAGCATTACGAGCTCAGCGACCCTCGAAGTTCGAAAGTGTTGAACTTAGTGAATTATAACTGATCCTAGCTTTGCCAATAGGCCTGACTCATTGAGTGATTTATCTCCACCGTCAATTTAATTATCTCCAGTGAGTCCTACATAGCGAAATAAAATTAACCAAGTCTCTCTAGCAATTTTGACCACCGTGGGCACAATCCTATGACAGGTGTCATTGCTTGCAACTTTGATTGCGACTATTCGGAGATAAAATACTCCAGAGCGTCAACTAGCGTTTGTTTCAGGTGTCAAAGTGTTTGTTTTATTTTTCTAGATCTTCCTATGGACTACCCTACGTTGTCTTACTCCTCCTTCCCCCTCAAACTATTAAAATACCCCTCAGTTGTCTCGGACCACCTCCACCCATACCACTGGTGTTAGGTTTAAATTTTCTTTTCGTCCTTGGTGATTGTTGTGTGTCTGTGCATATCATCAGCTTATCACATGGTGTACTTAGAATGTATCCATAGGCATAGGGGGGCGTGGAGCACCCAGGCTATACAATTGATCATTAGCAATCGCAATCGCATGAACGAGGATATAAGTATATAGGAACAACTTACCTTGTAATCTCCAGCGTGATAACATCTGCGGCGAATTGCTTTACTTCCGGATGTTCCTTGCAAATGGAGTCGATGAATTGACAAATGCGCTTGAACCTCCATGTCCCCATCGCCCAAAACTCGGTACCACTCTTGAGGCCAGTGACCTCTAGGAATGGGGCAAGGTGGGACAGGTCGGGGTTGAGTGAACTGAGGAAAAAACAGACTGAGTCATTGCGCCTTTCCTCAGGAGGTATAATAGCTGGTATGAGTACGTATGCCTGATTCATTATCAGTTAATGTCCGTTCACAATAATGATTGTACCATGTACACGATTCACAATTTCCACCGGTTCATATCGCGCATCCCCGTGCTTCTTCGTACGTTGCTTCCTGGATCATCTTCCGCTGTTGGTTTTAGTGGCCGCCATTTCTGCAGACTGGGATCCTTTGCACTCGCTCAAACATCTTCGGTACCAATGAGAAAGGAGCCGCGCAACATATCGGCGAATGGGTTGGCCAGTCTTATGCTCTCCCAAATCATCCCCAAAGTGTGTGCATACCTTTCGACCATGCAGTTAGAATAGAGACATGTTATATAGATTATACCACATACTTGCTGCATATACAGCTCCCAATCCTCTATCTGCTGGCTGACCGGCTTATGCATGTCCAAGTAAACTTTGGTGAAGGCAAGGATCTTCTCCTGTCAGATGAATCAACAACATGAAACTAACAGAAAGTGTTAGGTTTTGGTTGTATTGGATGCAGAGCCACTGGGACAAATAGGTACAAACAGCTTGACTATGTACTGAGCCACTGTATTTCCTTTGTTCCTTAGTCCGTGCAATTGACCTTGCCTTCGGTTTGTGTATGTGTCTGGGCCTGGTGTGCTTATGGCCACCCATCTTATGCTTCCCTGTTCTG